TGAACGTTTTCCTGGTGGTGAAAACCACTGTGAACCGTGTGCACTATGATTCATTTCCAGTGTTCCTGACTGTGTGCATTTACTTTTCCTCTTGCCCTGCACGGACCCCTAGGACACTTCCTGTCCGTGTGACCACACTTTCTGTCACCGTTGGTTAGCAGTCATTTGTTCTCTTCAGCATCCATGTGGGTCTGCAGCATCTCCTGTGTCTTTCAGGACCAGGCCCGCCTGCCGGTGCCATGTCATTTTGTCACACTTCAGAGTGACAGGGCAGCTCCCTGGGGCCATAGAGCCGATCCTAAAGTTCGTTTATTCATTTCCTCCCCTTACGAAAGGGCCGTCCCTGTCCATCGGGATCTGGGCACATGGCTTTCCTGGGCATCCTTGGTCGCCGGGCAGGGACTGTTAGCACCTGCTCACTGCCAGGTGCTTTGCTTGGTCATGAAGGTGCAGCAGTGAACAGAACAGAAGAGGCACCTCCGCCTTGTGGGTATGTTGGGAGGAGACTGAACGTGAGTGAGACAAGTAAACGTGCAGCCTGTGTGAGTGGAAGGTGCTCAGGGGAAAATAAAGTGAGGAGGGGAGGGACACAGGCCACGTGGCAATGGGGTGGTCGTACAGGTGTTGGGAGAACACCTCTGGAGAGGGTGACACAGCGTCTGCACCTGGAGGGGGACCCTGAGGTGGGCCTGGCGAGCAAAACTGATTTGTCCTGCCGGTATCGTTCATCTCGATCACACATACTCACGGTGCCCCAGCCCCGTGGGGGAGTGAAAAGGTGGGACCGCTCCCCAAGGGCCCACGGTGCAGCATAAGTAAAAGATGTGAAAAACGAAGAGTAACGACGAGATTGAAGCCAACCCCCAGCTGACAGTTTGGGTTTCTTGGCTCTGTGTGTGTATGTGGGTGTCACCTCCTCCTCTGGAGTGCCTGTCACAGAGTGACAGTGTTTTGGTTCCGCGATCTGAGAGATGACTTACTGAGAAGGGCACGTGAGGAAAGTGTGACGCCTCATCTCTGATGCGTAAGGAAACCAGTTGCGGTTCTGGAGCACATCACACGCACCGGGCTTGGGCCTGGTGTCGTTCGGGGTTGCACCGGCACCGCCTCGAGCCCGGAGCATCACGACCTCGGTGACACACTCTGCGGTCCATTTATTGGTGAAAGGATGTCCAGGGCGTCCGGCCTGTGGGCAGTGCTCGTGCCGAGCTGGACCCGTGCTCTGATCATTGGGGCCATTTCAATGTGAATCTGATTTTCCCATCGGACATGATGTCAGAGAGAACTGTGCTCTGACCAAGGGTCCGGCCAGTGTTCAGCATTGGGTAGAACTTCCCAGGCACGTGGCAATTGCTCACACTTGTTTTCAGCTCTAAGTGGCGTGCTATTTGGAATAAAACTAAACAGTCTTATTAACGCCAATCAGAGAAACTCATTACCCTTGGAGAATCCAGAAGAACCTCATTCAGATTTTTACCATCATGTTTGAAAGGGACTTTGGATTAGTTGGTAATTTGTTGAGAGATCAATGCAAGGATAACGATCTGAAAAGACTTTTTCCTCCAAAGTGGGTGAACTAACTTGGGTTTTATAAAGCAGTTAAGCCTCCCTGAACAATGGCAGAGAGCATATTCCGTCACGGCCGCAGCTCTGGTCAGGTGGTGCTGGTCGCAGTGCCCAGCGGTGCCATAGCTGCTGCTCCCAGTTCCTGTGGCGCTGAGTCATGCTTTTTCTCTGCACCCTCTGCCTTTGGCTGCTTGTTCGTCTTCACCTTTCGGAGCTGCTGAGCTCGGAGCTGCTGAGCTCGGAGCTGCTGAGCGGCAGCACGGCGTTGCCTCGCTGTGGAGCCACGCAAAGCCCCAGTGCGGAAGGCAGCCATGATCCGTGGCTGCCCTGGAAGTCCTCCTTTCTCAGCTGGAGAACCGCCCGGCTGGGGCGTGGTCGTTAAGAGAATGCCTGACTGTGCGGAGACACAGCCTTTCCTTACGTGACGGCATTGAAAAAGTCAAGCAGATCTCAGCAGTCAGAGCAGCCCCGGTGTCCCGCAAACTGAGGCCAGGATTGGCCTAAAGCTATTGGAAATGAATCCTTTACAGTTTCTTCAGAGGGGATTTTGGAGCCTTTGAGAACATTAATTTTTTCATGTTATGGTTACAGCTCACTTCCCTTTGCCTAATTCCATTCTCCTTTCCAGTTCCCTGTGTCCCGTGGCTTAGCTCTCTGTCCCTGGCTCTTGTTTTCCTTCTGTTTAAGCTTCTGGTTGACCTTGAAGGGAGCAGATGAACTTGCTTTGTGACTTTGGATCTCTGGGCCTCCCCCGCTCCCCTCCCCTCCCTAACTGGGATGAACATGGAAGTGAGCTCTTTGTAAGGTTGGTATTTCCCAAGAGGAAGAGGACTGGGGGCTACAAAAAATAAAAATAAATGATCAAAATAAAGTAGAAGAAGCTTCTCCTAAGTGTCTAAGTGTTGTCTTAAAGATGTTTTAAACCACTAGAGGGAGCCCAGATTGTTCTGATTTCTGAATCTGATAGAGTTTAATGCCTGATTTTATTGGTCCTGGGAAAGGGTACTGGGGTGAAGGGCACATGTGTAACTTTGGTGGTCCCCTTCAGTCAGCGTCCAAGGGGAAGGTGGGGCATCACCAGATGGAGACTACTGTCTGCACCGGGCTGCTCCTACGCCGCGTCACAGCACGTGGTGCCGGTGAAGTGATTTGAGCGAGGACCTTGCCAGGGTCCCTGGCTCTCCTGCTCCCCGTCCCCATAACACTCCTTGTCCTCGTCCACCCCTGCCATCCTGCCCCCACTGCCGGGCAGGTCGAGTCCCACCCAGCAGACACCAGTCTTGGGTCGACACTGTGCAGGCTCTGGGCTCGTCGGAGGGTGAATGACACAGCTGTCCTTCGTGGCAGGGTCAGGATCTTTCCTCCTCTCCAGCTCCCTTTTCTTCGCACCTCTGCTGATCCCTGTGTCCATGCCTTGCCCGGGCCCTCTCCCTCTGTCCAGCTGTCCCATCTGCCTGGGGACGGCCTGCGCTTCTTCCAAGGCCCAGTCTAAGAACGGCTCCCTCTGCCAGTCCTCCTCGGCGAACGCTTCCCCGTCTGGAGCGTATCTTTATATTCCAGGTCCTTCTATGGAGGTGCGTGATTTGAACCACCCTTGAATATTCGTTGCCGTGGAAATGTTTTGTATTTGCTTCATGCCTGGATGCCTCACCTGTAATAGACTGTAAGCTCTTTGTGACAGGGTAACGTTTCTGCATACCTGTTGTTTTACCCATAATATCTGGCATTGCTAAGGAACGCACTTATTTATTTTAGCTGTGTTTAAATTTTCCCAGGGGTTGCCAGCACCATCAGCAGAAATAGGAATTTCGCTGCCCCCTGCAGGGGGTTCTCTGCGTGAGCTCCAGCACTGAGCTGGGGGAGGCCGGCTGCACCTGCAGCCTGGTTTTAGCTCCTTCCTCAGTACTCACCCTGAAGTCATTTGGGGCTGGGGACTGAACGCCAGTACACCACATCCTCCAGCCCAGACCCTGTGACGATGAAGGAACATGCGGGTAGGCCCGACGGCTTCCCAGGAAGCCAGAGGAGGGAAGCACAGCCCCCACCACGGCCCTGCTGCTCCTGCCCACAGTGGCCAGTGGCCGGAAACAGCTACAAGCGCCTCTCCCTGCAGCTCAGGCACTCTTCCCAGTGCAGAGCAAGCTCAGCAGAGAGCAGAGGTTTATGCTACTCAGGTCCTTTTAGAGTAATCACTCGATTGTTAATGACCTGGTTCACAACCGATAGGGACAAAATAGATGAGTCATTCCACATAAGAAGCTTGGGTCTCTGAACAATGTTGAGTAGTAAGCTTCCCTGTGCAAGCCTTGGCGTAAATGGTGATGGCCTGTGTTGCACCATGGTAGAAAGTTTTTCTTGCCAGTTCATAGTAAATGGCCTTGACCTTATTTGTCTTTTCCTACTTCTATTTCAGGTAGCTGTTTGTTTGCTTTCTTGTTTTAATGAGGAATGAGAATTGAATTTACCAAATGTTTTTCAGCCTTTTTGATTATTGATATGGTTTTTATTTTTTCACTTTAAAAAAATGTAAATGTAATAAATTATGTTGATGGCTTTCCTGATGGTGAGTGAGCTCTGCACTCCCGAAACAAGCGGTGCTGGGTCATGTACTGTTATTCTGTTCACCCCCTACTGGGTTGTTTCCAGTGCTGTATTTAGAATTTCTGCGTCTGCACTTTGAGTGAAACTGACCTTCATTTTAGAATTAACTGGTCTAGCTTTCCATCCTTTCCCGTGACCTGGACCAGTTTGAGTACACAAGTATCCGTTTGCTGATGATGTTTACTGCCCAGTGTTAATAAAGCGTGGGGGGTATTACCAAGCTTTTAATCTTCCCAGCCGTGATTTTAAAATGCCTTACTGCTTTGAAGGAAGATCTCTAAAGTGTTTGTTCTCCAGTCTCTTTCAAACTGCCAAGATGTGGGCTATTTTGTTTTCTTGCTTTTTATTTTGCTTGTGTTTACATGAAAAGTTATAGAGTTTCAGTAATAGGCTGAAAGCTTATTGCACAGAAGGGAACAAATGGGGGGGGCGCTATTCACGCCCCATACATGAGGCTTCTGTTGCTGCACAGCTGGACTCGTGAGAAGGACAAGGACCCTGGATTTAGCAAGAAACGGGACAGGGATGGTTGCGGAAAGCCTGGCTGCAGCCCCCACCCCCGCCCACTGGGTGACCTTGGTCACACAGGCCTTCCCCGAGCATCAAGTCTCCCCCCCCCCCCCCCCCCCCCATCTCGTGTTGGTAACTGCCTGGCACCACCACTCTGAGAACTGGGAGAGATGATATTTAATGCTGTCTGAGTCCTGAAAGCTTATCACTATATTGATAAAAAGGGAATTTTTCTTTTTATCAGATGATTCATGTAATAGGAGACCTCTTTAACAAAAGGAGACTTTTATTTGCAAATGTTTAGGTAGTTGTTGATTTATTATGAGACAGTCCTTTTTGGTCAAGATCAGTAATGACCATGAGCTAATTCAAAGAGATTTTAAACTTTATGTGATCTTAATTTTAGAGAGGTAATGCTGTGCCCGGGTGAGCCAGGCCAGCTAATGGTCTCACCTCCTGGTGTCGTCAGCAGTGTTCAGAAAGTGGACGGAACACCGGCTCCTTGATGTTGTGGGTGTCATTATACGTTCTGCTTTTTCTCTCCTCCTCGAGAAAGAGGAAAGGACTTCCTAGTCCTCTGTTGGTCACCTGGAAACAGGTCCTGTTCGTGGCGAAGTGCCCCTCTAACCCAGCAAAGAGCATTTTCTCCAGCATGTACTCACGGTACCAGCCAAGCAAATCACCACGAGTTTTGAGCAGCTGAAATGAAAAGTTTGGAAGAGTTCATCCTGTCCAACTGTGTATTCTGCACAGTATTGTGGTGAAACCCAGCTGCATCCTCTCGCCCCTGCGTCTCCGGTGGTCCCGGGAAGGGTGTGTGATCCATTCCTGCAGTTCACACCAGGCCCCTTCTCACTGTGTGGTCAGCTGCAAACACAGGAAGTCCCAATACTTGGTCGACTGACTGGTCGTGCCCACGGGGGGAGAATGCAGCCCCCACCTCCGTAGTCAGTCATGGATAACATTGGCTTGGGAATCACCGAGCGGCTGCGAGGTGCCGAGCAGTCCAACGTAGTCATTGGTCTGTTGTGCAGTGGTGAGGAGCAGGCCTGGGTGCAGCGCGGGAGCCGCCGCTACCCGGAGTCCAGCTGCAGGGGTGCGGCTCCTCGGACGGGACGCCGTCTGCGGTGCAGGTGAAAACAGTGCGACCTGCCCCCGGAAGAGCAAGGTCCCAGCACTGTAAAAGCATCCCATTACCAAACTCACTGGGAGAAGGGCCTGGGGCCTGGAGGCAGATCTTTTCTGGGGTGGAGTCGCTTGGGAGACCCTTCTTTTCAGAATCAGTGAACCCACAGAGAGAGAGAGGAAAGGGGAGTTTTTCTCAAGGAACGACCTTCTTGTATCGCCCTTTGTGGCGCCTGGTGCTGACCCCTCCTCAGCACCCAGAGCACAGAAAGCTTGTAGCGTAAACTCCTTTGTTTCTAAGAGAAGATGTAATCAAATCATTCTTAAACATGACCAGAAATTGAATCTCTAAAGAGACAAATTCAATAGCAGTCTTTTTCTCCAACATCCGTGCCCTATTGATTGAATTGCCTGCCCATTACCCATTGCTCCTGGAAACTGGCCTCCCCCTGACCCCCGGCCACAGTGAGTGCCACCGTGGCTCCTGGGGGAGCTTGTCCCCCCACCCAGTGATGAGCAGGGAGCACCCAGCCTAGGCTCCACCCTGTGACTCTTCCTGGGAGGGTGTGGAATTGCCACCAAAAGGAGCTCCTCCAAGTCTGGCGAGGGAAGCTGTGAACTCAGGGGCTGTCCTCCGAGTCTGTTTTGGGCACACACACTGGGGAGCAAAGGGGGCCCCCTGGAGACCGAGAGGGACCAGAGCAGGGACTCAGAGAAGAGGCTTCCAGGGCTGTGAGGGTTTGTGCGCCCAGCTGGTGTGTCATCTGTGTGTACATGGTTCAGGAGGTGGCTGGCCTCACTCTGGGGAACAGGTGGCATAAATTAGGTGACTGTCCAGGGGCTTCCAACCCCGACATCCCACGGTTCTCCAAAGGCACAAACTCAGTACCTCAGTACTGGCCGTAATTTCAAACTAGATCTTACAGATTTTCATGCTTATGGCTGACCGAGTGTATTCAGTTTGCTGTGATAATCAGATCCTATTTTTTTTAAATGATACATATTTTTAATTCTAAAGGTCAAATATTTAAGAATACAGTGATAACAAAATAACAGGTCACTGTTTTGCTCTCCTTTCTTAGTGGCAGTGATTCAATATCTTCCGAGGTGTCCAACAGGTGGCCCCTGGGCCGCATGCAGCCCGGGATGGCAGTGAACACGGCCCAACACAAGATCGTAAATGTACTTAAAGCATGGAGACCTTTCTGTGATTACGTGTCACGGAGTCTTTAACGTGTGGCCCATGACAACAGCTCCTCTTCCCGGGCGGCCCAGAGATGCCAGAAGGGCAGACGCCCCTTCAGCCCTTTCTTCTAATGTCCACGTTTCTAAAAAACGTGCTTTTTTGGTTTCCCTGGCTCCCTGCTAACTAATATGAATGTTTTTACACCCGTAGTTTTACATCACACCTTTTGGTTAATATTTAATGATTATGCAGACATTACTTACAGATAAGCGTGTTTCCTTAAACATAATCGGGTTGACAGCGGCCTTTGTTTCTATTTGCTTGGTTTTCTCTGTACCTGTTACCGATCCTGCTCGCAGGCCAGTGCGCCTGGGCACCTCTGATGCCTGATCGTTTTCCCCGGAGAGGCTGTTCCTGGAATCATGTCGTCCTGCCGGGGCCATGTTCACCCTGTAAACATCCTCATCTCCAGCTTCTTGAGAACTGACTTCGCCTCTCGCCCACACGCTCTTTCGTAACCAACCCCCTTCTTGTGCTGCCCGTGCACGACGGAGAAATTCGAGGGTCCTGTGTGTCTGAAAATGCCTTCACCCGTCTTCCCTCCAACCTGGGAAGGCGTCGTCCCGCTGCCTCCAGCGTCGCTGTTGGGAGGCCGGCGCCAGTCCCGTCCCTGTGTTTCACCGCAGCCTGGTGGCCTCTCTGAGGCAGGTTGGGTCTTCTCTCCATCCCAGTTGTTGGGAAATGTCATGATGACATGGCTTTGTGGGTTGGGCGCTTCTTCTTCCCCATCGGTTGAGCTCGACACTTGGCAAACTTCGGTGCTTCAGTTCTCTGACACTTCTCGAGTTGTGTCTCTGGAAGTGGTCTTCCCCCCATCTCTGGTCTTCTCTCTTTCTGGCCCTCCACTGCATTACCCGGATTCACCAGTCGCTGTGTATTTCCCCCTATTTTCTGTCTCCTTTTTTTGTTTGCTTCAATTTGTTTCTGTTTTGAGATTTCCTCAACTGTGCTTTCTAATGCTAACATTGAATTTATTTCTGCTATCCTATGTTTCGTGTCCAAGGGTTCCTTGCTCTCCGAATGCTCCCGCCCCCTTCGAAACTGGCATCCTGTACTTTGTTGCCTGAATGGGCTGTCATTCCTCAAGTTTTCACCTGTTCCCGGGTCTCTGTCCCCTTGCAGTGTAATGCTGTTGTCTTTGCAGGTCGGGATGGTGGCGGGGGGGTTCGGGGGCGGCCTGGCTGTGAGGGCTGCGGCTGGGAGAGAGGGGGGAGGGGGCTCAGAGGCTCCTCTGGGTTCGACCTGCAGGGTGCGGGCACCGTGGACGGTCCTTTCAGTGAGATTTGGGAGGGAGGAGGGCAGAAGCAAATCTGTCCGTTTATTCCAGAAGCCTCTCAAGTCCCAGGGTTACCTTTGGATGTTAACCATTTGGTAATTGACTCTTCTCCTACGCAGCCTAACACTTAGTTAGAAATGCCTGCAGCTTTAAAAAGCATTCTCTTACTCTCTTTTTAAAAAGCTCTCTTCAGGGCAGGTGCCAGTCATATTTCACTAAAGGTCATTACATCTCTAGTTCTGTTTTTGTCATCAAGTCCTGTGAATTAGACCGTTTTTATTACATCATCTGATTTTAGATTGGCCAAACTCTGGATTATTTTTTATTACATCCACGTCTAATATTTACTTTTCATTTCTACCTCCAAGTACTTGAAGAAGAAAGTAAAAACAAAGCTGTGTTAAGAAACTTTTAGAGAGTACCTGGACTAGCAGACGCTCTTAGCCACCTACACAAGACGAGAATCTTAATGCACCACTGGGCCTTCCCCCTCACCCTTAGGCTCTCCTTTCAGCCGAAGGAAAAGGGGAAGGTGAGACGTCTCTGCTATCGAGCAAAAGAGGGCGTAGACATTCTTCTTTACAAATACATTTTTTAAATTAAACTCAGAGTTGACTTGATTATATAATCCCTTGAGCAGGGAACCTGACTAACATCAGGGTCAGTGTGCTCAGGGGCAGTTTCAGAAAATGCACGACCGGCTATTTGGGGGGTGGGGAGGTCGCTGTAGTTTCTGTGGGTCCCCAACCTGGCAGAGGCGTTTCTGCGGGGCTGTGAAACCGTCACCCAGGCCCTAGGCTTTGCCAGCGATGCGCCAACCTCGAAATAAAGACAGAGTCTAATCACCTGGCAGACTTTTTCAGCTGCTTGATCGCTCAAGATTTTGCCAAATGTTAGGTCATGGTCCATTTATTTTTGAATTATCTTTGGCATACACATGGTGGAAGTATTCCATATTGTTTGAAATGAGAAAAATTATGTGAAGCAAGAACGCTCCATCGGGGCGAAGGTTAAGAGTTTTTGAAAAGTTGATATGACGTTCAAGACCGAGAAGGGGCTAGGTGTCCAACATTAGACAGTTAAGCGTGGGCCTATCCTTATGATGGTATAATTTGCCACTAGAAAACTAAAGTTGTGTGTAGATCTTCATCATTGGAAAGATGGCCTTGATATCTCAGTGACGGACACAAATGTGTTTATTTACATGTGTGCATTTCTGTAGGAAAAGGCCCAGATAGCATGCAAATGGTAACAGCAGTAGTTTTCTCTATTAAGATTTGGATAATTTCTTTTATCTTTATTTTTCTATGTTTTCTTTACTTTAATAATGACTGTGTATTTAACTAATCAAGTCTAGTTAAAAGCAAGGGAGCGGAAACAGAGCCGGACGCGCCCTCCCGACTGGATCAGGCGGTGTCTCGGAAGGACGCTCGGGGTCATCTGTTTTATTGCCTCGCGACAGCGTTTCCATGTGGGGCCACTTGATTCTTTCATGACCACAAATGCGCATTTCTTTAATCTTAAAAACCAAATTACGTAGTTCTTCTAAAGTCATTGTAAAAGACAATATTTTGAAGTGGTGATTTCTTTCATTTTGGTTGACACTTGATTTCTGCGTACATTCACCCTCTTTAACCACTCTCTGCTTTGTTTCGTGTCTCTGAATTAAGCAGCAAAGAGCTGTTTTAACACACAGATTTATTACTGGGAATGGAAGGTAGTGAATATGCCTCTTAATGAAAGCTTTGGCTTAGCCAATTTGAAATGTTTATAAGTAAAAATCTCAAGGAGAGATTGTTTTAGTTCAGCCACCAAGAAGCTTTCAGCGCCAGCAGGAAGAATCCTCGTCCCTGGAGAAGTGTCGCCCCTTCTGCTTTGGGTCCTCTGCTGGGTGACTCACCTGGAGACGCAGGTGGGTCTGGGTGGTCGGGTCTGATGGACTCCTCCAAGCCGTGCGCGTTTCCTCACCAGCCGCTGCGCCGACACCTAGTTCTGACATGACAAAGGCGGAGACCAGAAAGAGAGCGCTCGGACTTCCTCTTTGGTCAGACCCCCACGTAGCCCCCCAGTGGCTCATTCTCCTTCCTGCAGTTTTGCCTTTTCCAGAATATCATATATATTCAATCATACAATAAACGGCCTTTTAAATCTGTGTGCTTTCACTTAGCGTAATGCATTCATTACAGAGATTGGCCCGTGTTATTACACTTATCAGTACAGTAGTTGCGCTGTGTTACTGAGCAAGTATATCATTGTGTGGCTGTACCATAGCTTACGTATCCATTCTGTAGAAGTTTAGTTTTTTGCAGTCTTGGTGATTTTGAATGGAGCTGCTATGAACAGTGTGCCCACAGGGTTTTGTGGGACTGTAGGTTTTTATTTCACTTGGGGACAAACACCTAGGAGTGGGATTGAGCAATGTGTGGGAGTTCTGGTTGTTCCACATCCTTCTCAACACTTGGTATTATCAGGGTTATTTGGTTTACTTTAGCCTTTATAACAGGTGTGTTATAGTGTCTGCACTTGCACTTCTCTAATGACTAATGATGTTTAGCACCTTTTCATGCATTTGTGATCACATGTTTTCTCTGATGAAGTGGCCATGACATTGACTTTTGAAGCATCTAGGCCAGTTTTCCTATAGACTGTTCCACAGTGGGTGTCTCATTGTTTCTTTATGATGTTTTTATTTTTCCTTCCCTCCTCTCCCTTCCTTTCTCTTTTTAAAAACTGGTTCTTCTGTCCCTATATTTTATTGGAATTATGTCTAAAGGCCTGATTAGATTATTTAAACAGCTTTGGCAAGAACATTTTATGCGTGATGTATATATGAGGGATTTTTAAAAAGAAGTTGAATTGGAGCAGATTCAAAGCTGCACTTTGATGCTGCCACCGGTGCATTGCAGCAGCCTCCCCAGGGTGCGAACAGCTGGAACGATGCCCTTGACTCTGTGAGAGGGATGAGTGGGATCAAACCTACCTCGGCAGGTTGGACCTCAGTACCGAGGGAAAGGCGGAGGGTGTGAGTCCCAGCAGGTAGTGGGTCTGAGTAATGATGGGAGCTCACAGCTGTTCTCATCCGAAAGCATCTGCTCTCTCCACGGAATAGCAGGTAAGGTCAGTGCCGAAAGTGAGGAAGTAGAAAGAGCTGTTGGGTGTTTGAAGAGAGAGGAGAAAGTGTAAAATCACCTGGGAGGACAGGAGATGAGATTGGACCAGGGAAAAAGAGCAAATGTTAGGCCCCAAGAGCTCTCTTGAGGACATGAATTTATTTAAAGTGAGGTTATTCGAGGTTGTATGTTTCTCTCCAACCGTTTGTTGTGGGTGTGTTGCTAATAACTAGAGCAATTTTAATTAGTCGTGGGCCCTTGGGGGCATTTTATCAGAATGTGGGGGTATTCATGGGACTGTATCAAATACAGACATTTCATCAGTAAAACTGGGTACACTCTAGAATTTTGACAGCCCCCGATGTGCACCCTGAACCTCCACCCTCTCCCATGGAGGGGTGCGATGAGGCCTCAGACCAGGAGGAGGAAATCTGACTTGCAAGGAATATTCTATTTCCTAAGCATGGAATTTTGATTTTTGGAAACTTTGTACCCCCAAATATGAGACATCTGATGATAAGTAATGAAAAAATAAGTGGCTTATTTATATTCAATTTCTTCAAATTTTGCTTGTAATTGGATGCCATCTTACCGTTAGTTAAGCCTGGGACTGAATGTTTGATGTTACTTTAAATAGGTTTCCAACTGGGGGAAAGTGTTTTCTGCATATTTTCTGGGCCATCACAGCAGTGTTATGTAAGAGAGGAAATCATTATAGCATCCTTCTAAAAATACTTTCCTGGAAAATATTCCGCAATCAGAATATTTCTGTTTAAAGGCACAATATTAAAAACCCTGCCACCTTGATTTACGATGCACGATTTAAAATTAATAGACTTTGTTTTTTTAGAGCGGTTTTAATTTTGCAGAAAAAGTGTAGTAAAGTACAGAGGTACCATACGTCCCCCAGTTTCTCCTATTAGGAATATCTTGCATTAGTATGGTACATTTCTTGCAGTTGATAAACCAACATTGATCCACTGTTAACTAAGGTTTACAATGTGATTTGCTCTTGTACTTTCTGTGGGTCTTGACAAATGCATAATGTCACGTGTCCACCTTTACTGCATCGTACAGAACAGTCTTTCCATCCTCAAAAACCTCCTGTGTGTCCCCTGGGCTCACCCTGCCCTTCTCTCCCCGCAAGCCCCCAGCCACCACTGGTCTGTTTCCTGTCTCTGCAGCTTTGCTTTCAGCAGAACGTCAGGTGGTTAGACTCATAGACCGATGGCACGTAGCCTTTTCAGACGAGTCCTGTCACTCAGTTGTGCGCGTTTAGGTCCCGTTGCCTTCTCGTGACTTGTTGGCTCCTTTCTTCTCACCACTGAATAGTGTTTCATTGTACAGATGCGCCGTGCTTTACTCACTCAGTCATCTGCCGAGGGACATGGTGGTCGCTTCCAATTTGTAGCGATTATGAATGTAGCTGGTATAAACTACACCTTAATTATTAAAATACAGTTGTAATTGTTGATTCCTCTTTCAAGTTAAGCAGCATCTCCATTTGATAGATGTCACATTGATGGATTGGCCACAGTGGTCCCGAGAATGTTTTCAGATGGCCCTGGACCAGCCTCTGGTGCTGAGGTGCCTTCGTCACTCGGGTCCTGCTGAGGATCTGGCAGTCCCTCCGCACTGCCCAGCGATGTCCCCTCCTTGCCTACACCCCTCACCCTGCTCTGAGGGTCTTCCCTGTAAGTCATTCTTCCACATGGCCCATAGGCAGGTAGTGCCATGGGCCCCTGGACCCGGGCCCTGTCACCAGCAAGCCTCCCCTCAAGCTTGCTCTCTCCACAGAAGACTCTGCCCATGGACTCTGTGCCCCGTCACTGAGCGTGCCACCGAGTCTGCCACCCACCAAACAGGGGGCTGCTCATGCCTGCCCCCTCTACTGGGGAGGTGCGTGGGCTGGGCCTGGGATCTGCGCGCAGGCCCAGGCCCTTTCACTCAGCAGCACTGACTCCTGAAGGTGCGTTCTCACCTCCAGGATAGAACAGGAGCTGGTGGCAGCAGGTCGGGGGAGGTGGCTGGACCGAAAGTGGGTCAGGGAAGGCGAAGGAGAAGGGCCACACTCAGGGGCGTGACAGGTCAGCTGGGCATTGCTCTTGGAGCCGCTCGTGGACTTTGGGCTCGATTTTACCCGCCTTGCCCTGAACGGGGCCGCCACTGTCCTCTCGTGGATATGAGGCCTGTCGGAAAAAGCCCAGCCTTTGTGATGCAACATCGACCCAACGTGACAGTGGAGGAGAGAGGACTGGAAGGCACACGCATGAACAATGGCGACTTCACTGTTCTGGTCAGTGGGGGCGGTACACGCTGTTGACTGAGCACGTGCGCTGTGTGGCCGTCACATTCAAAATGACTGAGCCAGTAGAAAAATGAATCTGCCTGAAATTTTGTGTTAAGCTTGAACATTCCCCCTCAGAAACTATTCTGATGATTCAGGAGGCTTTCGGGGATGATGCAGGGAGTGCGGTACAAATAAAAGTGACACAAACGCTTCAAAGATGGTTGAGAACCTGTTGAAAGGGATCCACACTCTGGGTGGCCTGCAACAAGCAGAACGCCTGAGAGTGTTGAACGTGCACAGGCTGCCGTCAACGAAGATCGGTGACAGTGTGAGAACTAGAAGCTGATCTGGGGAATCCAGAACTACTGAGTCCAAGATTTTGACTCAGGATCTTGGCATGAAGCTTGTCGTGGCAAAATTTGCCCCTCAACTTCCGCAGCCAGAGCAGAAGGAACATGGTGCTGCAGTTGCTAATGACTTGATTCAAACCACGGCCCATGAACCAGGCTTGGTGCCCTGAGACTTCCGGCTTTTTCCAAAACTAAAATCACCTTTGAAAGGGAAGAGATTTCAGACCATCAATGAGATTCAGGAAAATATGATGGGGCACTGGGGGTGATTCCAACAAAGGGTTCTGTGGAGTGTCTTCCAGCAGTGGAGGAGGTCCTGGGGGGACTGTGTGAGGTTCCAAGGTGCCGACTTTGAAGGGGACCGAGGGGTCATTGTCCTATGTAGAATGTGTCTTGTGTCTTCTTCAATAAGTGTCTCTGTTTTCCATGTTACATGTCTGAATACCTTCTGGACAGACTCGTATAGGTTCTGCCTAGTTCTGTGCAACTCAGGGGACTCAGAGGCCCATCTTACCCTTGTGGAAATGCGGGTCAGAGGCTCATGGCCTGCAAGAAGTTGGTTTACACTTAGTGGCAGATTTAATGCTCTACATTTCCTATCCACCCCATCTTCATTTGGTGTAGGGGGTTGAAATTCATATAATAATTCACATAGAAAGAGTTTCAGAAATGTTACAGTAAGTAAAAGGAGGGTGTGGAGGAATTTTGTGGAGCAAATCGAGTTAGTGCAGCCTACGTTTGAGGACTTCCCGGAGCTGCGTTGTCTCGTGCAAGAGCACCCTTCCCAGAAGGAGGAAACAGGTATCCCAGCATCTTTGTTCAGCTTCCTCTTAGAACAGGTTTTCTAAAGCGTGTCTGTCTTAGACTTTCACGGAGATTTGCCTGCCGGGCGCTGTGCGGACCTGAGTGCACAGTAGTCTCCTTGTAAGGGGTCCCTCGACAAGGATAACGTTCATAACAAGTCTCCAGGGATTTAATATTTCAGTTCTTCATAAGTCACGAAGGTCACACCTACACAGTCGGTGTGTTGTCACCACCCGTTGTCTAGGTAGTAGTTGGGGACAAAATGAGGCTTTCCCGACCCTTCTTCCCGTGCCCCTTCCCCTACCGCCTCTGTCGCCAGGAAGTGAGTGCGACTCAGAGAAAGGAAGGCAGAGAAACTGGAGTGACCGTTCCAAGATCACACAAAACCTCCCACAGGAGTGGGAGCGGGGGCAGGGGGGCCTCGCATCCCAGTGGATCAGATCACGAGCCCCTCAGGCCCCAGCGGTAATACCACGGCGGGGTTTTCCCCGTAGCTTTGAGCGTTGCCCTGGCAGCCTCTTGGGACATGCCAGTCCATTCGATTTCTGCCTGGTGCCCATCTCCTCCTGGCAGTTGATGGTAATTTAGAATGTTACTTGTAGTTCAGAGATGGAAAACAAAAAGCATGTAGGAGCCTGTAGGAAACATACATTTCTTCTAAGGGGAAGCACGAGCACATTTGTGAGAAGCTGTTCCTGCCAGGAACGTGAGCTCTGACATGTGTGGTTAGCGGTCTGCTGAGAGGCATGTAGTGCCAAGTTCAACTCCATAGGAGTCTTTTTTTTTTTTTCCAGTTTTTCTCTCTGAATTTATTTCAAGGCACGATCAAACTTGTACTCTTCATTAGATGCAGCATTATCTAATTTAGCTTTTGGCAGCTGTTAGCCTAGATCCTATTAAATTCTACCCACGAACTGAGATAATGACGGTACCAAATCCCAGCAGGTTTGTTGCAGAATGGTGACACCTGGGTGGCGCCTGGTCGGGCTTCACTGTTGCCATCTCTGGGGTGTCATCTACAAGTGACAAATTCTGGAAGGCTTCCCGTGTGGAAGATACATACCTACCAACTGTGTTTCGTTCATAAGGACGCCGCTCTTCCTGTCTTCTCCTCACGACCACCGCCACCTCAGGTGCATAGAATCAGGTCCATTCCCTGCTCCATAGTTCATGACAGAGGCGCCTTTGCTTGGATGCCACTTTATCTGGTCCCACTTCGGTGGCCCTCCTCCTGCAGGGGCATCCACGCCAGTGTTTGGTGTGTGTCATTCCCTTCCACCCCTTTATTTAAATTCTGTTGTTTTGTGTGTGTTCTTATTTTATGTACCTGCATCTGGGCTCTTACTGTCTCTCTAATTATCTTCCACTGAGCGTTATGTTCATTGTGTCTGTGTGGCTGTAGAGACCCTGGTTTGGTGCCTCACGTAAATTTCCATCTTGTGACGGAACCACACTGACCCACCCATTCTTCTGGAGACGGACACCCATTCTGCCTCCGCCTCGCGCCTCTGATGCCATCGCTACGCAGGCCGCAGCCCGTGGTGCTTCCCGTGGGTGGGTGCAAAGGCTCCGCTCTGAGCACAAGCCAGAAATGCCCAGCCTCAGCAGATGTTAAGCATCTAGAAGGTGAAAATTAGTGCCACTAGTATAAGAGAAAACCTTGGGGGCTTTAAAATATACACGATTTGTATAAAAGATGGCATTCAAAAGTGCAGTTGTGATGACTTAATTATCAGCCGCTCCGTCTGGAGATGCTATTTTTGTGGCGCCCTTTTTCTTTCCTCCGGGTGACTCTGCAGGTGTTGGTGGCCGCCGCTCCTTGCCGAGGGAGCCAGCCCGAGGTATCCGAGGAGTGGGCAAAAGTAGCACATCAGCTTCTATTTAAAGAAATTAATTATTTCATCATGTCGTGGGTGCTTAAGTATGTTTCAGATGTCATGCCTTCGCTTTTCCTAACCTCCGTGTACCAGAAGTCAGTGCTGACTCTGTTCCCGCCGCTCTCTGGCTTCGCCCCGGGATGGCCTGCCTGGAGCGTGGCCTCGCGGGGCACCCACCACCTCCTTCATTCACCCCAGGATGCTGCCATTTCGTTTTTGTGCCCTTTCTTCATCTTTGTGCCCTAAGACCAAGGTCAGAGTCTGGGGCCAAAAAAGACAAAAAGGTTTGGAAACGAGGTTTGATTCTCTGTGTTGCTGTCACATTTGGAAGTTGTGAAAGCCCCGCCTACTCGGAGACTGAGTGTGAGATTAATGCCCTGCACTTCGGGCCGGGGGGTGGGGCCTCAGTGGGTAAAGGGGGAGGAGAATATGTAGCCAGTCCATCAGCTCCACACAGGGGTCCTAGGAGGGATCCACATGCCCAGGGAGGTGGCCCACCTCAGCCCCAGGTTACTCACCCCCGCACCCTCTGAGGGCTTACGGGCCGGGCTGCAGGACTTACAGACCCTCTCTTGAATGCGCTCCCTGCCACAGCATCCTTGGCCTCTGTCCGCCCCTGATCTGTCCGTCTGCCCCCAGAGCTCTGCCCCCACCGCCACAGTCACACCGTGACCTTGTCCCTGCCAGATAGCCGTGGGACTGACCTCCATTTACATCCCTCATCACTGACCTCAAACAGCCCTTTAGGCTGCCTAGCAGTCAGGCCTGTTTCCATGGCCCTTTCTCCTTCCCACTCTCCCAGTGATGCCTTCTTGCCCTCCCCTCTCAGTCCTCGAGACCCTCCCTCCTTCCACCACTCTCAGCAGACGGCCTCCCTTCCCCCTTCACTGGGAAGCTGGAGGCCTCAGGTGAGAACTCCCATCAGCTGTCCCGCTTGCGTCTACGCCCATGCCTTCGACCCCCTCTCCTGTTACCGCAGGGCACTGTGTCCATGCCCCACTGAGGACACGTCCCCACTCACAAGCGGGAATCCTGTTCTCTCACGTGTCTCAAGCACCCACCCCCGCAGTCCCCCCACCCTCACCTGCGTCACGTCCATCTCCGGGGCCATTCCCATCTGCGCACGAACACCCCGTTCTCTCCGTCAAGCCTCACATCTCCCTCCAGTCTGTGCCCTGTCTGCCTTCAAACAAAACTCCTTTAGTGCTCAGGTCTGCAGTGACTCTTGACCCATCGCCCCACCAAACGCCACTTCTCAAGGTCCAGCACCACGGCCATGTCTCAGGCCTCCTCTTCCTCCACTGCCCTGGTCCAGACTTCCAGGCCCTGCAACGCCTGCTTTTGCTCCTCCCTTCCATTCCGACTGCCCTTCTCTAGTGTTTCTCCCCCCTCCTCCCCCCTCCCATCTCTCCTTCCCCGCAGCTCCTCCCCCTTGTGCGTGTGGCCGGGAGGAGTGTTGTGTGTTGTGCGTTGTGTTTCTGATCTGCTCACCACCTTCCCCCCACCACCGTCAGACTGTCACACTGTCTCCGGCTTTGCTTTGGGTCCTGCTCTGATCCTCATCCTTCCCTCAGGCGATCTCATCTCATCTCAGTCACAAACCCCACTGAGCTGCTTTGGAATCTCTGATTTTTATTCATAGCTCTACAAACACAGCTTCCTGTGAGACTCCTCTGTTGGGTGTTACGAGTCTCAGAGTTAATATTTCCAAAGATAAGCTCTGTTCTTATTGATAGACAGCATTACATTAGTTTCGGGTGTAAACACCACGGTGCACTATTTGTACATGCTGCAAAATGATCAGCACAGTACATCTAAGTAACATTCGTCACCATAGCTATGGAACTTTCTGTGGATGCTGAGAACTTTTACGATCCACTCTCTTCGCAACTTTCAGATATGCAATACAGCATTACTAACTGCAGATACCTTGTTTTATTACTGCGAGTCTGTACCTTTGATTCCCTTCACCCATGTCACACACACACCCCCCCAAAGATAAGCCCTTGCTGTCCCCAAACTCACTCTTTCTGCAGACCTCGCTGCTGGCTTCATCCTTCCGATGGCTCAGACACAAATCACCGCCATCCCTCGTCTCAGGGCACATTCTTGTCTCCCCCGCCTCTTCCCTTCCCCCCTTGTGTGTAGTTTCAACAGCCCCACAGTGATTCTGTTGATGACCTTGACTGAAGCAGGTTAATCCTCCACCCAGAAGCCTCCAGCTGGCTTCCTTCTCTTTCAGAGTAAAGCCAGGTCCTCACGGTGACTTATGAGGCCCCTAGAACCCTGGCCCCAGGTTCACCTCTCTGCCTTAATCTTCACCTTCATCTCTTTAATTGGCCTTAATCTTCACCTGCTCTCCCCGGTTCATTCCGCTTAGAAACCCCAGCCTGGCTCGGGATTCCATGACCTGCCAGTCAGGCCACTGCCTTTGAACTTGGATGTGAGCTTTTCCCTGGGCCTGAAGTGCGTTTCCCAGGTGGCAGCTTGCCCAGCTCTTCACTTCCTTCGGGTCTTGACTCAGTGAAACTCGCCACCCTCTGTGCAAGGCCCCTCCCGGCCGTCATGTCCAAGTCTTAGCCTCTCGGCGCTGTCAGGGCCCTGTCTCTGCTTCACAGGTGGGACTTGTCACTCTCTGATGTGGTAGATGTGTCACTTACATATAGTTTAATTTTCTGTCTCCTCCACAAAGGGAAGCTCCAAGCGAGCTTCTGTTCAGTTTGGATTCTGCAGCAGCTGGAACAGTGCCCAACACGCCGGGGCGCCCAGGGCGCCGTTCTGATGGACGCCTGCAGGTGAGCAGTCGCCCTGCGCCTGATGCACGGTGATGCCGGCTTAGTGTAGACTCACAGACACATAGCATGGCACTTAGGTCCAGAAATAAACCCCTCCGTAGGGCATTCAAGACATACGGTGCCATGGCGGTCCAACGGGGGACGTCACGGCCCTTTTGACAAATGGCGCTAGGACCAGGGGATGTCCCCATGTGAAGGAACGAGGCTGGTGCCCTGCCTAATCCCATGTGAAAAATCAACTTGCAGTGCATCGGAAACCTAAATACAAGAGCTAAACTATAAAACTTTTAAAAGAAACATAGGTGTAAAATTTCATGACCTTGACTTGGGCAGTAGTTTCTCAGGGCACCAAAAGTTCACATAGCAAAAGAAAAAATAGATAAAACTGGACACCATTTGTGAAGCACAATATTTGTACTTCCTTAGACACTGTCAAGAAAAGGGAAAATACACAGAAAAAAGTTTTTGCAAATCATATCTGTCTGATAAAGGACTTTCATCTAGGACACATAGCAAACTCAATAGTAAAAAGACAAATGTTTATTTTACATTTTGGTTTTTATGCACTGCTGCTTCATTTTGTTGCCCAGACTGTCCCAGCCTTGGCCGCCCCCCCAGTGCCTGTCCCCTGTCTGCGCGGGGCCTCCCGGGGTCCTCCGCGGCCAGCCTGCGCCTGGTGCTCCTGTGCCCGGAATCCCGCGGTCAGGCTGCGGCCTGTGGGTGTGTGACGGGGCTCTGGGCGGGATGCATGCTGACTTCCTCTGATTGCGTCTCAGTCATCGAGTGGCATGAGGTTTATTGAGGACTGTGACCTCCATGATGTTCCTTGGGGGGTAAAGCCCCCGCCTCCACCCCCACCCCCTGCAGCGTTCCCAGTTTATTTCCCTGAAGCTCCGTGGCCTGGGCTTGTTTTTGGTTTTGTTTCCCCTACTTTGGACGTGAGACAGGCAGGGTGGATGGGGCTGGAACAGAGAGGCATCCCCTTACTCTGGTGGGGGTCAGGCCAAGGGGTTTTCCCTGGAGACTAAGCCTTCATTGTGGAGAAGGCTCTGAACAGTGTTCCATGAGGCATACGCTTCCCTGCACTGCAAGACCCGTGGTGGGGGCAGGTCCTTGTGTCCCCACCAGGAGAGCCTGGCAGGTCCCCTAAAGGGAAAGCCTGTGAGTAGAGGCACCCAAGACTCTGCAGCCTTTAGTGGTTTGTCACCCATGCTAGTCACAGGCAGCTACCAGCAAGTCATCAAAATTACCCTTTAAGTGTTCCTACCCATCCATACTTCCAGCAGCTTCTGTTCCAGCTCAGTAGGCCCTGGTCGCTGTATCACTCTGGGTGTGCCCACCCGACTCCAGAATTTGGGGTGGTGACTGCCCTCAGTTCTCAGACAGGTCCAAGAAACGTAGTCGACTTTCAGTTTCTGAGGCTTTTCTCGTTGAATTGACAGAAGCGACAATTTCCGAGCTCTCTACATGTTGAGACTGAAACCAGAAGAGCTCCTAAGTCTTTTTTTGAGGAGACTTCATTTAGTTTTTATAAATCTGTCAGTTACAGAAATAGTAAATTGAAGCATATGTTCAGTAGTAAAAATTCTGAATTTTGCTCCAGGGAAACAGGAAGCAGAATGTTTCGGTAACTGAGCAGACTAATCGTTTGCTCAATAATTAGCAGCAGCGGCAGTGACAGGTCCACGGCAGAGTCAGCAGGAGTCCGGCACCTTCCACCAGCCCCCACCGTTCAGGCTTTCCGTCTCTGCAGGTCACGACCTTCCGTCGTCCCCCAGGCCACCAGCTGGTGCCACTAGTGGCTTGTGCCTGAGGTGTAAACCATTCTCGCCTGGAGGCGGTTCTCGGTTTGGAAGCCTGTTTGGGTAAGACACATTTGCTAAGGAGCACTTCTCACTGCAGGCAGTGACACTGTGGCCCAGGCAGGGCATTTGTATGTGCAGATGATCAGTGTTAATCGGATTAATGGACACTTACAAAGAACAAAAGGAAGAGGAGCTACTTGCTCTTTTCATGATAAACAGATACCACCCGATTTTCAGAAGGCTCCTTTGAGGGACACTAGCATCCTTTGCACACTTTCTTCAAAAGAATACCCGATTAGTTCATTACTGCCAGGAAGGTTTAGAGGCCTGGGCTGAGCTGGCAGTGCTCAGAGAAGTCGATTTGACAAAATGGTAACATAGCAGTTTTAGAAATGAGCGTTTCTTTGTCCTGACTACTCCCCCTGTAGCAGGTGTGACGGTGGCACATCCCGTGAGGCCAGCGAGGCTCAGATGGCTCACTGGCTCGCACTGTGTCCCGAAGGTGTCTGCACAGAGGGCCACCTTGTCCCCAAGCTTGTGCTCTCCCACCCCCACCATTCGCTCAGAGAGCCAGGAGGGTCGTGCAGAACCTAGAACTTCACTCTCAGCTCCTACTCTACTGGTCCCTGAAGGTCAGTTTCCTGCCCCTTGAAGCGGAGACCAGAATGGAAGGGCTCTCAGATCCTCTCCACGCTGAAACCACAGCAGTTCTGATCAGGACCACGGGCAGCACTGTCAACCAGGCCGCCCTTACCTGGGAGTCCTTAGTCTCCCTCTCCTTCTCTCATACACATCGGGCTTTATAATGACCGTGCAGCACAGCTCGGGGGCGGGGGAAGGAGGACAATGGAGGGGGGAGGGAGGAGGAGGAAGCAGCGACCCTGGCACAGATGGGACAGAGGCAGCAGCCCCTGGAGGGGGCGCGTTCCAGAGGCTGGCCAAGTCCAGTGCAGGCCTTGGCACACTGAAGCTGGCCCGGAGCTGGCAGGTGGCACCCAGGAGACAAGACAGAGCTTTTGCCCAACAGTGTCAAAGAAACGCCAGGTGTCTTTATCTCATAGCGGGGACCCAAGGAAGTGGTATTAAATTTGACCAGTTACCATCTCACTTACTTCTGTGCTGAACAAACTGTTCCCATTGCCATAGCATATAAATTAGCAGGAAAACAAAACAAAAAACAAAAACCAGAAAGAAGACAAAAGTCCTAAGGGGAAGGAGTGAAAGCCTGTGAACAGAGAGCCATCCTGGGGTCGCCACCTGGTGTCACATGCCTGCCATGGACCATGAACGTGATCCAGCCATCACCACAGTGAAGGGGGAAGAACTGGCCTCTCCTCTTGTGCCTGCAGCCTGGGGTGCTCACTGCCACGTTCTCTACTCTGGAGATTCTCCCATGTCCGCCGCACCTGACCATCTCTGAGTGGAAAGAATGCTCTGGGCGGCCAGAAGGTGAGGGACAGCTCAGTTGGCCCGGGACTGCCCCCCAGAAAGAGCAGCGACTTCGTTTCCTGTGAGACTTTAGCGCCTGGATCCTCCTCCACCTGTGCTCCTCCCCTGCTGTCACTGGCCAGGCCAGCACTAGGCAGGTGACCTCAGGAGGCTGACCACGTGTCCTCCTGGCATCATGGCAGAACCAGCAGCCTCCCGCAGCCCCTGGAGTGCACCACAGCCGGCCTCTGTGGCTCGTGACTTAGAGGTCGCAGGTGTGTTTCTCCGTTGGGATGCAGTGTCTCACTTCACGGTCCGGTTAGAGTAAACCAAGTAAGTAGACAGCAAAACGAAACCACAAACTGAGGCCCTCCCTTTGCTGCTGGGCCTCAGTTAGGGAACATTTCCAGGCACACAGTTAAGTGTTGCTTGTTTTCTTTCTTTGTCAAGTTATCAAAATAATTGTTGAAAAAACAAAACCAACTCCAAACAAAACATGGCCCTCCCACAGATGACACTTGCTTTCCCAGTTGTCAGGCCCGGCCCGGACTGCTTTGTCCCTGAACGTGGCCCCGAACGGGAGAACGAGCTCTGCAGGTGTGAATCGCCGGAACGCTGGAGAAGGCGTGTCCTTCGCAGACACGGGGTCGCCGAAGCCTTGAAAGCCGGCTTTCTCACCCCGAGACAGGACAACCCCGCCACTGGTGTCCTTCCCCCACCGAGGAGTCTCTGCCCTCAGCAAGTCCCTGCAATGGAGACTGTGTTTCCAAAGGAAGAGAGGATAAGACACTCAGTTTCATTTGATTATTTATTTGCAGCCCTTTAAATGATTTCCTTCCACTCATTTGGTCTAACTGGCATTTCTTTTTCAGCCTCTGTTCTGTTAAGTAGTGAGATAGGGAACAGGAGGTGAGAAACTTTGTGTTTTTACACTAATCAATTACTCTCATGTCTCGCATTTTAATTGACCCTCCTAGGATTCTCCCGTTGCGTTTTTTAAGATTTCAGCTTTCTATGAACCTGTCAAGGCCAACTGCTCATTCATTAGACTGATCTTGGGAAGTGACATAGCCCACGTGGACGGGCCAGTGGTCCGGGCCATTTGCAATGCCAGCGACTCCCTTGGGTGCCTTGTGAGCACCCTCAAGTGCACCAGGTGCAGACCGTAGTCGGGAGCACCATGTGCTGGGATCGTAGGTGCTGCCCCGCCCAGCAGCGTCTCTTGGGGGCCGTTGGGGGCCCACCAGGTCTGAGGATCTG